AATTTGTCAATAACCTTTCTGGAAGGTGGAAACCAGAACCAGACATGCTATTCCAGCAATATTCTCACTAAAGACGTATACCAAGGTAATGTCGTCTCCCCCTCCCCCCACACACTGGATTTCTCCTGCTTACAGATGCAAGGAAGGCATTTGGTCTTTTACCTACAGCACCACAGTTCAACTTGTTATATATAGTGACTTCTGAGTCCTTTTCAGTGTCACTGCTTTCCCTGATTTTATTAGTGTGACCTACATTTATTTGTAGATACATGACCTTGTATTTACTGTGTTAAAGCACATGTAGTTCAAATGCACCTTATCAAGTGATCTAAATCAATTATTATTTACCACTTCATCGTTTTTGAGTAATTTTACCAGTAATAATTTTTTATTTTCTTCCAGATAGTTGGCAAAAATATTGAATAGCTGACATTAGATATAATTAATAAAGAGTTAAAATGATTTTATGAAAAATAGTTTGTGTCAAATAAACTTGAAATGATTTTTCATGAGAATACAAGTTTAGTTGATAATGGGGATTGTTTTAGAATAATAAATTTAGACTTCTGTAAGGCTTAGTCTCAAATAACATTATGATATAAAAGTACTAAATGAAATCAGTGTAGTCCATATTAAATGCATTAAAAATGGTTACCTACCAAAATTTCAAAAAAGTAACTGTACATGAGAATCATCAAGTGGTAGTGGTTTGAGAGGAGTCCCAGCAGGTTTTGTTATCAGCCCAATGCTATTCAATATATAAATATAAATATATATATTACCATATGGGACTATATTCTCTTAGCTCATCATGAATGAAATTAGATCATGATTATTTACTCATAGTCAATCATCAATTTTGTCAATGAGGTTCTGTTAGTGTGGGAGAAAATTAATCCACTGTTAGACTTTATTTTCTATGCTATATAAATCTTCCATACATACTCAACTTCTATCAACAGCACATGTACCAGAGAAACTCCTACTTCTACAAGGAAGAGACTAACGAATATTGGATAAATCAAATGAATAGTTGGAATTTTCATTTTCCCCTGCCATCTCCTTATTTCCTCTATTGCAGAGGTTTTCAAACTGTGAGTCATTAACCCCTTCAGAGTCCCAAGGTTATTGCATGGTGGCTGCAAGCTGTCAACCCCATACCCTGTTTCACCACCAGCATTAATAATAGTGTTAAATATATAAAAGTATTTTAATTTATATAAAGGGGTTATATGCATGTAAGCGGTTAGCTGTGGCTACAAACGCTTAAGAATCACTGCTCTATTGGTAGTAATAGTGCAACAGCAAGGGGGCATTCTAGTGCTGCATACCTAGAACTATACCCATCTTCCAAACTCTTTTCCTTCCATTGGTCTTCCTACTTCAGTTAACCAAACTACGTGAAAACTTCTTTTAAGCTTAGCTCTTCAGTACCACACATAAAATGCTACTCATTAACTGACAATGTTCAGTTACAACAGTAACAATGATCATAAAAAATGTTATTTGTCTGATGCTCTCAACAGAGTCACTGCATTCTATGTTTATATTCATTGCAAAATACTTTGCCTTTAGATCAGGGTTTGATTTGTAATGAAATAAATGGAAGGGTCACCAATTAGGTGCTGGTTTCAAGCAATTTTTTTAAATTTCATATCTGATGCAGCAAGTGCCAGGGCTATGAACTGCTAAATCCAGAGGTGCAAGAGCTCAACCTTGCTGTAGTGGTAGAAGTCTCAATAAAATGTACAAGAAGCATTGTAGAATTGTATTTTCTTTTGTCACGTTTCTATTGTTTTCAAGTTACATCTAGTAAATTTCAAACTTCTAAGTGCCACTAAAGAGAAGATATTTTCATGTAAGAGATGCAGTCTTTGCTCTGCTGACTGCAAATGTTCTTCTGTTTTTGGAAGTAACAGAGAGGCAGAAACTAAGAAATAAAAGAATGAATGTAAGAAGGATCAAAAGCAAAACAAGATACATATCCAAACTGTGGAACAACACAGAGAATAAGAGAAGATGAGAAAGGCAAATGTATATAGAATGGGAAACAATAAGAGCAATATATATTGGAGAATTATGCAGAGAAGGAATAGGAAGGGACAAAAAAAGGAGACATATTGTCTGTAGAAGAAAGGAAAGTGCCAGGAAGATTTTTTTTTAATAAAGAAAAAACAGACAGAGAAAAACGATTCTGGAGGGAAAAACAATGCCAAGTAAAAACTGTTTCCTAATATTTTAGAGTCCAGCCTTCTAATCTGAAGTAGTATAACAGCAAAATCTTCAGCCAAACAAACAAACACAAAACACATTGAAACAAAACACAGCCAAACAAAAAAACACATTGAAGTCCTAAAGTGTTTTCTGCTAATTAAATAAATGCCTTGTGTTTTCTCTTTATGTCCTGGGACTTTCAGAGAAAGTTTAAAAACTGAAGTTTAAAAACTGAAATTTTAATGTTCTTTTATTTGATTGCTACACATATTTCCTGTCATCAAAGCAGCTGTAATGGATTAGTTACTTCCATTATTTTCCTGAGCTCCTTTTGAAAGAAAGAAACCTCTGTGGAAGTTATTCTGAACCTTTCTAAGATATCCTCTGAGGCAAGAGGCTTACAGAGTCCTAGTTACTGAAGAATAATCAATTCTTATTTTTTCAGGTGAAAGTTTAAAGTCAGAATATAGATAGTATGTGCTTACTTATATATGTATCATTTTCATAACATTAGATGATTTCTTAGCTCTTTCATCTTAATAAATGGTGAAACTTTTACTCTATGCAACTTAGCAAAGGGATGTAGATGTAAAGGTACCTTTAACTAACCCTTGATACTTTCCATATCCCCAGACACTCTCTGAGCCTACTGTAACACAGGGAAACCTCATAGAACCTTGTTATATGTTATACAGGCTTGTAACAGCTTGTAAGTTGTGGTAGTGATCCATGTCAGGTTGGTGATCAGTTTCTAGAACCAATTTTGTTCAACATCTTTATTAATGACCTGGGTGAGGGGATGGATTGCACCCTCAGCTATTTTGAAGATGACACTAAACTAGGGGGAGAGGTAGACATGCTGGAGGGCAGGGATAGGGTCCAGAGTGACCTGGACAGATTAGAGGACTGGGCCAAAAGAAATCTGAGGAGGTTCAATAAGGTCAAGTGCAGAGTCCTGCACTTGGGATGGAAGAATCTCAAGCATTGTTACAGACTGAGGACCGAATAGCTAAGTAGCAGTTCTGCAGAAAAGGACCTGGGGATTACCGTGGATGAGAAGCTGGATATGAGTCAACAGTGTGCCCTTGTAACCAAGAAGGCTAATGGCATATTAGGGTGTATCAGGAGGAGCATTGCCAGCAGATCCAGAGAAGTGATTATTCCCCTTTATTCGGCTCTGGTGAGGCCACATGGGGGTATGTCTAGACTACTTCCCTCTGTCGCCAGAGGGATGTAAATTAGATATACCGAAATTGCTAATGAAGCAGGGATTTAAATCTCCCGTGCTACATTAGCATAAAAATGGCCACCGCTTTTTGTCATCATGGAGCTTTGGCGACGAAAAGCAGCAGTCTAGCCCCGGTTCTATCACTCACTAAAGCCTTTGGCGACAGATCCTGTATACCTCGCCTGTATACCTGGCGACAGAGGGATGTAGTCTAGACATACCCCTGGAGTAGTGTGGCCCTTCACTGTAGAAAGGATGTGGATGTACTGGAGAGGGTCCAGCAGAGGAGAGACTGAGGGATTTGGGGTTGTTTAGTCTGCAGAAGAAAAGAGTGAGGGGGAATGTGATAGCAGCCTTCAACTTCCTGAAGGGAGGTTACAAAGATGATGGAGAAAGGCTGTTCATAGTAGTGATGGATTGCAGAACAAGGAGCAATGGTCTCAAGTTACAGTGGGAGACGTCTAAGTTGGATATTAGGAAAAACTATTTCATTAGGAGGGTGGTGAAGCACTGGAATGGGTTACCTAGGGAGGTGGTGGAATCTCCATCCCCAGAGGTTTTTAAATCTCAGCTTGACAAAGCCCTGGCAGGGTTGATTTAGTCGGGTTTGGTCCTGCCTTGGGCTGGGGGCTGGACTTGATGACCTCCTGAGGTCTCTTCCAGCTCTATAATTCTATGATTATGCTTGCTAAGGATCTCCAGAGCAACATGTATTTGCCAGGGCTGTAATATGCCACTGACCAGGGATCCATAGGAATCTCTTATCTTGTCAAATCTGAAGCACCATAGCCCAGACAACAATCTGTTGTGGTATATGCACTTTTGTGCTAATTTGTGCCAACCTAGATAATTGATGGAGCTGGAGAAGTGGCATTTCTTTTATTGCCAATCAGTTGAACAGCACAGGCTTGACTTTAGCTGAAATTAGCACACAATATTTTCTGTTGACTCACCCTCATCACAAGGGAAAGGGCAGGGAGGAATTATATGAATCTGAGCTAGTCAAAATTCAATTCAAAAGGTTCTCAGAAATGAAATGTGAATAAGACTTCCCCAGCCCAGCTGTGACAGTGACGCTTGCAGTATCGCATCTAGATATCTGATGTCAGACAGATGTATACATAATTAACTATGATATTGACCTGATCATGCTATCTATATTCAAGCAACACACACACACAAATCCAGCAGTTAGAGTTGCCAGAGCAAAAACTTCAGTATTTTTGACTTACTCCTTTACAGTGTATCCAGCATTCTAAAAAAACTCATCAGAAAGATCTAAGCAGACTCCAGAATCCTGGTTTATTTTATTTTCAAGAGAAAAAATGCTTGAAATGGAAACTGCCATTTTAATGTTCATGAGAAATGTTATATATAAACAAAATATTTCTTTTGCTGTCTTGCAAACCTACAAAAATGTCATTTTTCTAATCAGCTTTGATTGAAGAAGAAATCTTCTCATGTACTATATTTCTACTCAACAGACTTAATTCAAAGTCTATTTTTCTACTGTCAGAATCATGTTTCAGCATTTCCAGTCAGAATATAAAGCGCCTACCTTGAAGAAAGTCATGGTTGCTCCATCTTCAACTGCACCATACTCTATCTTTGTCTGCTTGGCTAAATCATCAGCTGAATCAATGGGAGATTCCATGCGCTCCACTGTCAGAAAGGCGGCTAAGTTAGCAGTGTACGAGGAAATGATGATAAGTGTGAAAAACCACCAAATGCCTCCCACAATCCTGGTGGAGAGGGCTTTGGGCATAAGTTCAGAACCTAATGAAAATCAGGGGAAAAGGTGAAACCAATGCACAGAAAACAATCCACAAGTGTTCAGCACATTATGTCACAGTAGTGAAAACAGAATTCACTGTGCAAAATATTCTTTAAGATAGAGTCTTATATTATTGCTTGTACAAACAAACACAATAGAAATGAAAAAAGGAACTGATTACACTTACAAGACAGAGATTTTGGGACTGTGGGAAACGAAGTATAGTAATGGGAGACTCAAAGTGCAGTTTTGGCATGAGATAATGTGCAATCCTATCTTTAATATTTTTGATTCAGGACAACAGAAAACAACAAGTAAAAGCAGCAATTTCAACTGGCTTGTCAAAAGAAACTTTAAACTTAAAAAAACCCATCCCAAAACCCTTATAGCAGGCTTGAACCTCTAAGTGAAAAGTAATACTTACTGTAGCCCTTCTATGGTGCTTTTTCTTCAAAGCACTTAAAGATAATTAAGCAGTTCATAAAAACTTTTTTTGATGGAATAAAACTATGCTGGAAAAAGCAGATAAAAAGCAGAATATTCCACCCATCCCCCCAAAAAAACTGTAAAAATCCTTGACTTCTGCTGCTTTTATGGTATTGTCTCAGATACTGATTTCTTAGATAAAAGAAAATATCTCCCATCTCTATAATTAGCCCACAATTTCAGATAAACATGGGTGGCTGTGCCACACATTAAACTAAATAGAGCAGCAATGACAATATTAGATTGTTATGCATAAACTCGATAAAAATAGATCATAACGCATTGCTGGAGTTGCCTGCTCATGGCACAATAGAACAAAGGGGGTGCCAGACATGGTATGGTAATTTGCATAATTACTAATGCCAATTTAGAGCCTAATGAGACAATTTGTAGCACATGACCTCCTTGTGTGCTTAATAATTACAAACAGGGAAACTGACATGTATGGATTTTTCCATTAAAATATAGCTAAAGAGAAGTATATATTAATTCCAAATGAATAGGTTAGAAGTATTGCTACATCAATGGAACAAAGAATTAGAATTTTCAGTAAATTACCAGATTTTTTTTTCATACTCGGGTAAAATGGAATGAAGGCAAGATGGGCTGTTTTATTCCTAAATTATGTTGCTATATTACATTCATTAAAGAATTGGTCCAGACAGGTAGCACATCTTTGGATAAATGGAGTTTATGTCAAAATTTCAATCGCAATTCAACAACAACAACAACAAAAAAGGAAAAAAACCACAAGAAGTGGTATAATGACTGGACTATTTGATCCAAAACAGCCCATCTTACCCTGCAGTTCATTTTACCCTTGCTGTTTCAGACAAAAGAAGTGACAGACTTGGGTATGGCAGCCAACTCCAGCGCCAGACTCTGCCTAGAACTCTGCAAGAAAAAAATAGAAAAGTACCTTTCTGATGTAGTTGCTCCTAGGCCCTGTCAGTCAGACACTTAGATACCATAATACTACAATATTTCCCAATAAGCCCACCATCACCAATGTAATTATTATTTTTTAATTAAATATCAACTGTAGTTAGGTCAAACAAGACCGGGAAGAAAAGAACAGTGGGAACATTTTCCACAGTTGCCCCAATTACCACAAGTTCATATCTTACCAAAGGACTTAAACAGAGCGCCACCTTGGCCTGTGAAACAGAGCCTGGTTAGGTGCTGACTGTCATGTACCCAAGGTAACGTCATGTCCAGCACTATATCCCACAGTTTCCTGGGGGCTGGGAGTGTCAGCAAAAAATGTATGAGTTTCCTCCATCATGTATCCTCTTCCAGCATTAAGGGAACGTGTTGTAAAGACATTAATCAATATTTAAGTGGCATTTAAATATTGATTATTGTGTGCTCTAACTGACCACAATCAGATAATGTATGTATTATAGGAAATTTGTATTACTAAGCCAAGTTTCAGTCTGTGTCAAAATTACTGTCATGTTCCATTAGGACTATGAGGCAAACTGAGAAAAGCAAACATCAAAGACAGAACTAATCCTTGACCCTTAACGTGGTTCCTTCACTAAGTAGTTATAGCATGTGTAGTGCAAAAGGCAAAACGCTATAAGGTAAGGACAGAGTATCTATCTTAACTAGAAATATACTTGCTTTTTGTGGTATATGCCACAGTCTTAATAGTACTGGAACTTAGCAGCCATGTGGAAGGGACAACACTTTGCATTCATATAAATCTTGATGATCCATTGAGGAATTTCCCCAAATTTGGCTCATTCTTCCAGCATATCTGCCTTTGCATTAGCCAGGTTAGTGAAAGTTGTGGATTCAAATTTAATGCTGTTCTGATAATTTGAGATGTTTTTATCTGAAAAACAAATGGCTTACCCCCTGCTTTTTCCCTCCTAGAGAAGATCATGTCCTATCCCTCAAATTTTGTATCACACTCTAATGCCCTGATCATGTACCCATGGAAATCAGTGGGCATGTTCTTACTGGCACCAGGGAACACAGAATCAAACCCCAAATGAAGATTATGTGAACGAAAATAATTTTGGAGGTTTTTTTCAAAAACATGGTTTTAGATCTGGAAATCTCACTTGTAAATATCACTGTGTATTGCCTTTGAAACTTTGTTGATTAGCTAGCCATGTATTCAGGACTGTGATTTTAAGCATTTAGATTGATGATTACAGGCAGTCTCCGGGTTATGTACAAGATAGGGACTGCAAGTTTGTTCTTAAGTTGAATTTGTATGTAAGTCGGAACTGGCGTGCAGATTCAGCCGCTGCTGAAACTGACCAGCGGCTGACTACAGGAAGCCTGAGGCAGAATTGGTCTGCCCTGGGCTTCCTGGAATCAGCCGCTGATCAGTTTCAACAGCGGCTGACTTGGGGACGCCTGAGACAGAGCAGCTGGGGTGCTGCCGGGTTGGTCCAGTAGCGCCAAGGAGCGGCGCTGCGGGACCAACCCGGCAGCGCCC